TTGGTGTTCATAGGAAAGCAAGAGGATCTCCTGGACCCAACGACATTTCAACAGTGACAGCATGTGCAATTGCTGTTAAAAAACACAGACCCTTCTTCCCCTGGCATTTCCTTACTCAATACCCTTGAATTTTAAAGTGCAGGTGTGTCTAGAACTTGAACTCATGTTCAGTAATACACAGACACGTGGAAAACAGCCAGTACCCTGGATTCAAACTGAGCATGTGGCCTGTATTGATGCGATGAAGTCTCCCTGATCCAGATGGGCATTCATGACAGTGCTATCAGGAAAAAAGCCAAATGAAGACATAATCAATCACAGCAAAAAAGTATGTCTGAGCAATGCAGCAAGCAAGGTGGCAAAACAAAGGAAAAAAGGTAAATTAGCATTTTGATTCACTAGCAGGTATCTCGGATTGGCTAATGAGAATCCTGGGATAAATGAACGCCTTTCCACCTAGCACTTTCTTCCAAGTAGTGTTCTCTATTAAAGTATTTATTCCTTAGGATTCAGAACCTGGCCACTGAGAACTCAATGAGCTGTAAGACAGATATAGTGGGATGAGAAGTAGTAGTTTATATTTTCCAGTTTATACAAAATTCTATACAAAATTAAAAAAAAAATCACTCAGAAGTTTACAGTATCAGCCCATCCTTTGCTATCCATTCATCGGCAAAAATAAAATTAAACATTGTCTGTATTTAAGTTAAAAGGACAATTAATCAGGAAAGATGAACTGATGAAAAGCAAAAATGACAGCAAAGTTTCAATACAGGTACTTGGATTCATCCTTTGTCTCCTCTTACTTACATAAAGTGCCAGAAAAGTGTATGGGAAATACTTCATAAATCACACTAATGTATCAGGTTTTTTTATACCTTGCCCCAATAAAGTGGATGAAAATTATATCACAATAACCAAACATATATGTTTTATACTAAAAGTATAATTGAAAACACATGTTTAAATGTTAACACATATACTGAGATAGAGTGTAGAAATTAGATTTTAGACTAATGATTTTATTTGGCTGACTAAAGTAAAAATAATTATTGTATTTCATGAAAAATATTTGTCTACAGAAAAATTGCCAGTTCTTGAGTTCTGAAGTACTTCACACTAAAGTCTGGACTGCTAAACTTCAGGAAATCTATGCTAAACATTAAATGCCAAAACTTAGCTGGAAGTCACAGAAGAAAATATCATGTCAGCTTGTAGCATGAAGTTTTTAATTTTAAGCCCCACACAGTGACATATGTGGAACAGGCAAGAAGAGCAGGGAAGGGAACAACGTACACAAAATACGTTCCGCATTCGTGCTAAGCAGGCTAACAGACCTGTTCAGTGGATGGACAAATCACTGCTTCTGTTTCAGAGGCATATGCTTTACTTCCTAATTTTTCAGTGAGTCAATGACATTTAAAAATACCACAGCTTACAGAATTGTAAAAACTGTGTATGTGTATTATTCAGTTAATCCTTTGCATTTACAAAACAACTATGTGTAAAGAGAATGACTGTGGTCCCTACAGCAATACACTGTGGCTTGCAACTTTATTATAACGCTAATTGCAGGTAAGACTGATTTATCTTAATGTTTACGCAATTCATGTTTGTTGACTAGGCAGCTTACCAAAAACAGTTCTTAAATGATCTTTCAGTAATAAAATACAGATTGATAAAGAACTGAAATTAATAACTAGGAGAAAGTATAACAAAGTAGCATGCTTTGTCATCAATTTAGTGTATGCCAAGTTAGAGTCAAATGACGGACAACCATTGAAATTGCTCCTTAAAGGAATACATATTTATAAAGGAGTAAGTATAAAACTTCATGGATTTTTTTGGTCTATTTACTAAGAAAGCATTCCTCACAGTCAGGATGAAAACTCAGAAGCCACAATAATACTGTATTAGACTGACTATTCAATTTATTAACATTGGTAAACAGTTCCATGTTCAGAACTATTTTTAAACCTTCACAGTCTTACTGATGGCAGACACATGGATCAGTAAACAGTTTTTTAAAAAAAAAAGTGAATTTATTTTTTACTTCATCGTGTATGATTAGTTTTGTAGAAATAGTCCATCATGTGTACTTTTTAATCATCCTTAAGGCAAGCATTATTTCTCCGGTGTTCAGTACAGAGTAGTACTCTGAATTCATATAAAAATAGCAAATTCTTGAAAGTATAACACCATAACAAAAATGCTAAAACAAATGTATTACACTTCGAAAAAAATGAGCTCTCTGCCAGCTTTTATGGTCACGTACTATGGTCTGACATTGATGTTTCTAACATCATATCACTTTCATTCATTTCAATCTCAAATGTTTCTTCCAGTGGGCGACTGGTATCTGTACTTTTTCTTTGATGCGATGACTCTAATGTTACTATGCCACTTTCATCCAGAGTTTGTCTTTCTATGTCGAATTCTCTGAAATCCCAGGGAGGTGAAATTATGTTCTTTAATGTCTTCATTGTGTGTACATCGAAGTCATAACATCTTAATTTGTCTTTGATCTCTGTTCCTAGGAAAACAGTCAAACCATCAGTTTGTTCCAAGTCAACACTCTCAAAAGTGTATCTCAAAGAAGCTATCATCCAGAAACTAATATGATTCTCTGCTTTCAGACTGACAGGGAGCTGCTGCTACTTAATGACTGAAGTTGAAGAGAGTTGTTCTGAAAAAATAAAGCAGCCTCCTTTTTGAAAAAAGCACAATATAAGAACTACAACTCAGATTCAAAAGCCTGTTATTAGAAGTAATTGCCAATTCCCTTCCGAATTCTCTAAGAGGCTTTTTTTTTTGTTGTTTAAATTACACACAGCATGGTTTGCATTAATGCATATCGCACAGCTGCATGGTTCTTCCAGATGCGTTAACTGACTACATATGGAGCAAGACAATACCAAGAAGAAGCATCTGCTTCAATTGTGCAAAAAATCTGCTGGAAAAGCAGCAGAGCACACAGGAGGCTTTTACTGGCTTCAGCCTCATTAATGTGCTTGACAGGACATCAACTCTGTTCATTACAAATAAATCAGTAAGTTCACTGAAGCAGAAATATGTCACTATAAAAGTTTTCCTGGGGGCAGAAAGCTTTCATAGAATATTTCAAACTATGGCTATGTAATGTATTATTTTTATGAAGCACTTTTTTAACCATATGTAAAGCTCTATTTTTGGAAGCAGAAGAATTTGTCTTGTCTCCACAGAGCAGAGTTTTGACATGGTGAAAATGCCTTGCATGCATCTCTTTACAGCAGCATCAGCTCAAATAAAGTCCTCTGATTTTCTAACTCCATACTTCTATTTTATTTTCCCCCATTCCCTTTGGTTTCTAAGCTGCCATGAATCAATATTTTCTATAAAAGAAACCCCCACGACCTTCAATAGCAAAGTGATTCTTTTCTTTGTACTGATAAGAATTAACTGTCATGAAACTGTCACAAAAAACAGTGGTCATCTGCAATTGCTGGTAAGTTCTGACTCATTTAGCCATTTAAAAACAAAACACCAAACAAAAACATACTCTACTTTGTAAGTTAACTAGTTAAGGTAGACAGTCTTTCTTGATGTAAGACTCCTCTCAAAGGATTCAATGACTTTAAGAGTCACATAAGTGACAGACTTACCAATGTAGGCTTCAGAATCACCAATATACATTTCTATGCAATGGCCAAGCATTGTGACTGAAAATGTGTCATCCCTCCTAAGACCAAGAGCCTAGTAAAAAAAGCCAAAACACAAAACCAGTAAAAAGTATTCAGTAGCAAATAAAACCATTGACATCTTAAGTCCACAATGGTTCCAAGTTTGTTGGTTTGTTGCTCAACAATGCTATCAGAGCAGAGTCTTCACTATAAACGCAAAACATGGCACAACCAAAATAATATTGTCATACGAACAGGCTGAAGCAGTAAGCAAGCAAAGCACAAAAACAAAACCAGGAAAGGCTATGTATACAGACAGATAATTATTCACAAATCATGAAGTATAATGCACTACTGAAGTAATGATTATAAAACCTGTGGGGAAGTTAGTTTTGTATAGCTAAGCTACAATCTATAATGAAATAGACTGAGACATGCTTAAAGTAATTTCAACTAAATGTAAGTAATACAAGCTTCTATGTAAACAGAACTGCAGCTACATTCAAGGCAGTCAACTTGAATGCTGAAAATTCAACTGAGGAAAATTCACTGTAACTCTAGGAAAACGTGAAATCACCAAAACTGTCCTGCAATAATAATACACAAGTACCATACAATAAAGATAAATTTGAGACAAGAGAAAATAGCCTATCTTTAAATGTTGCACTTGCTGTAATATTTCTACTTCAAAGCATAGGTTGGAAGTATTTTAAATAATTTCAGCTGCATGAGAAGTTTATGTACGTAAAATGTATATGACAATTATGATATTCAATTAATTTATAACAAAGGAGGATCCAAGTACTAAGTTTCACAAAGTGGCCATTTTTTACCTAATCGATTGAAAACCTATGAAGATTTTTCAAAAAACATTAAGATTATAAAATAAACACTAATTTGGAGGCTGGATAAAATGCTGTTTCTCTGTTCCAAAACCAAAACTGAACGAAACAGTAAACAACAGAATCTGTGACCAGCACTTTAATTTAGGCCAGTTACGTACCGTATGGAAATAGTCGATTGCGCTTTCAAAATTGCCCATTAGACTATGTATGTAGCCAATGGCAGAGTAAGTGGAAGCATTTTGAGGAATCAGTACTAGAGCCTGGCGATGGTATTCCAGTGCTTCTTCGTATTTCCTGTTGGGGTTAAATACAGAAGATCTACTAGTAAGCTTCAGGGTGAAAGGTGTTTTTAATGTATTATATCGATATTTTCCTTAGCTGAGTGGCACGCAATCCTGCAAGAACTTAAAAATTATTGCTTCATACTCTGAACATAATCGAAGGCACAAAAGACTCATGACAGTGACAATCTACTTCCTCAGCGTAATTGAGAAATCATTGTTCCCCTTATGTAGCACAACAGCTGCCTACAGCTAGGCCCCATTTGGAGATGATCTTAGCAATTTGATACGGTAAATTGCTTTAGATGTTTAACGCTGCTCATTGTAACATTAGCTTTCTTCCTTAAGCCTTCATTTTCCTCCCCAGGGGAGCAAAGGAGCAATACGAGACTAAATCACTCATTGCTCAAAGTGAGAAAAGCTCTCTGGGCAGAAATTTCACAACCCTTAAGTGCTACATACATTGGTACTTTCGTCACTTCCATTTTGCTGCCTTTTCTATCAGAAAAGAAGGTTTACACATATCCATAATTTATTTCAAATACCAGCCACTCCTTCTTTGACAATCATCCATTCATTAGACTGCTTATTGCATGTTATTTTATAAAACAAGGATTAAATGTACATTGTGCCATTACTCTGAGAAACTGTCACATTTGACATCCTAGTACCAAGTTGTTAAAAATGAAGATAGCAATTGTCTATTCAGAAGAAATTTTAATGTCTATAGTTACAATGAAATTATGCAAACAGCAACACATGAAGTAGTTAGAGGGCATTAAGTAACAATTCAGACAAATTATGCAACTGTTTGCTTTCTGCACAAAATTTTCCCATGATTTGAATTTTATTTTCACTCGTATTATTTACCTGTCCAATTAACTACCACTGTATTTTAATATCCTGCTTTCAAATTTCAACCACATAATACTAGTGAGTAGACATATATCCAGTAAGTTTTTTCAAAATAGCAATAGCATGTATTATGAACACTAGTAAATTTATTACAGAATTTTTTAAATTATCAAAGCATATGTACAGCCGCCTAAATTCTCAGCTTGATTTTCTTCAAAGACGGTTTACAAGGTTATAGAAATACATTAGATTGGCTTTCTGAACCTGAACAAATAATACAATGCAAGTACCCCTAAGTGTGATGCGAGCAGTTACCAACTTACTGTAGAAATTAAAAAAAAACAAAACGAATTATAACTGAAAAAAGTATTTGGAAAAAACCTACAGTTATACTCATGAATAGATTCCAGAAACAGTTCCTTTTGTTTGCTCTTGGCAGAAGAGGTAACTATTATACATCCATATTTCACAATGAAAATGAAGACTAACTGGCAATTCAAGCACAAAGCAATTATTACCAAAGCCAAAGCACAACTTATATCTACCATAATCACATTCTCATTAGCAGCTCTGAAACAAAAATTAGAGTATACACCAATTGGACAATTAAAATCATGACACTAAAAAACAAGAAGATACAGTACTGATTAAACAAAAGAAAACACCGGTTAAAATCAGACTAAGGTAATGAGAAAACATTTCTCTATGTTAAAACTGTTAAAGTTTGCATATGTACTTTGCATCTTCTTTTTCTCTTCCTAGAACAGAAACATCAAATGAAATATGAAATAGTTCTGTTCTCGAAAACCATGAAGTAGTAGTTTATTGCTGTGTTCATGTCACAGAATATTTCACTTCAATAAAAAGAACATAAGCACTGATCCAAGCAATTAATTGGAACAAAACCAACTTTATGCTAATTAAATCAGTGGACCTATTTAAATATGACAGGACTGGGACAGTGGCCAGTTAGAATTCAAACCCGTACAAGGACCTGAAAGCCTATGACCTAATTTCTATCCGATAAGAATCAAGAGTTACAGAAAGGCTTTTACGTTAAGTACTTTAACTTGTGTGTAGTAAACGGGATATAAGGGGCGATTAATGTATTTACATTCACAAGCCGATTAGGGAATCTTGTTCTTATAAGGTGCTTCTACACTGCTCTCATGTGGTACACAATCTTGATATGAGAAGTGGGTCTAGAGAAAGCACATTTGTGTACTATTCCAAATAAAGTAGCTCCAGTACTCTCTGCTTACTTGAGTTTTCTGCAGACATGTCCCAAGTTGTTCAGTAAAGGTTCCCACTTATCAACTGTTACCTGCAAAATAATGCAACAATTCAAATAATTGCAGCTTCCCAGACTGTAACTGAATTTTGTCTACTTTAAAAAAAAAAACCCATACAAGGCAATTCAGTCACAATCAAGAAAAATATCACAAACGTTTTCAATTTTTTTCAGAGCATATATTTAAGCTCAATACATTTATTCAATAACTCATTGTTCTAATTTTTCCATTCTCTAAACCCAATTAAATTTCTTTAAAGGGTCAGTGATCGTAAAACTCAGATGCAAACCAAACAAAATTTGTCTTCTACTTAACTAAAAATCATGTCAAGTCTCTCAGCCTAGGAGCACTGAAGACCCCCCAAATTACGTGTTTGTAAAAAAATCATAAATGCTGAAGGTCTTTTTACTGTCTCCTCCATAGTCTAACTTCATCTGCTCTAAAAAGATTAGCTCAGTTACAGGGCACACAGAAGACAATCTGAGACAACAAAATCCTTAAAACACTTTTTGCTGAAATTAAAAATCATTTGGACTTGATTGCATTATGAATTTGAGATTTACAACAATGTACGAGTATCTCTGTATCTCTAGTTATTTCAGGTGTTTCCCACTACTCGTTCTAAATATCCATTTGTGTGTTTATAGATATATTGATATTTAGTACTTCTCAATAAACAAACAAAAAACATTACACAAAAGAATCTAGGCATATGCATAAATTTAAGCCTGATCTACAAAGTTAGTGGTATTTGCACGAACAACAATACAGCTTTAACTAAAAGAGGCGAAGGGGATTGTACAAATTAGTATCTGTCCAGTTTGTTTTAGTAAATGTGGGCCTGATCCACACGAAGATTATAGTTTTTTCAGTGCTTTCCACTTTATGAAGGGTTTATTGTGCTCTAGAAGCAATTCCATTATCTTGATAAGAGACGTTTTGTTAACAATTTTAAGCAGCATGAGGCGTTGTCCTCATTAACTAAATTTAAGCTAAAAACTGAGAAAACCTATCCTAAAATTCACAAGAAGCCTGTCACAAGGTGGTACTGCTTTCATTAAGCCATCTTCAGTTACTCCAGTACAATGTGTTTCTTTAGACAAGATGACAACACGCAAATAAAATAAACAGTACTACCAATAGGTACAAGCTTATTTGTGTGTTTCACCATTTGAGGAATCGGGGTTGTAATGGTTGACTTTTGATTCACACAAGTGCCTGACCTACCAGCACATTTCCTGACAAACTTTTTGCCAGTCAGTATTTTGATTACTCTCAGAAAGTTAGTTAAGCATCCCTGGGCTCACTCCCACACTGTGGCTCTATCTGGTAGAAAGAAAACAAATCCATACCTACAGGGTTATGTCCAAATGGACAGAAACCATCTTCACATGTGTACCCAGTCCCACCCTCAGGTCAAGAACCATTGGTCTACTAAGACCCAAGACTGAGGATGAGACCTGGATTCCACTCTCCAGTCAATGCTTATTTTCTTTAATTTCATACAGAAACATAGTTTTTTGCCTTTTCCTGCAGCACTGAGGATAATGTGTGATGAGTCTCATGTAAAAACACAACATACATAATTACAAGTTGATGGTCCAAGTTGTAAAGTAAAATTTATATTGTATTGCTTCTATGTTAAAATAAGTGCAACATATTTTGTCACAAGGTATTACAGAATGTCCTGGAGTTTTACAAATTTACAATCGTGCATGTTATTAGGAAAAATACCTCATTTCCAATAGCTTTTATTTTTTCCAGTGCATCAAGAAACCACTTTTCTGCAGTTTTCCAGCTAACGATTGAGGGGGTGGGGGGAAAGAAAAGTAAATTAGTGAAGAGTTTTCATTAGCGGTAGGAGAAAACTGTACTGTCAGGAACAGTTCTTTGACATCATTTAATCGCCTGAGTGAAGTCAGATGTAAAGAACAGTAATTTACATTTGGCTGCATTTTGCACATGCTCCTAAGAGTTAACAAGACAAAGTTAAAATATCAGAAGCAAACCAACATTTCTTATATCTGTTACATTTTTTCAGAATACATTTGGAACCTCCTGAGCTGACAAAACGTTTTGCTGTACAAAATTTTATAGCATGTGTGCACTTGTGTGTGCAGATAGATGCCTTTAAGGCATGTGACCACCCAATGACAGACACACACGAGATAATAATAGATCTCTGCATGTTCCTCAAACATTACATTCTTCCCTCATCCAATCTTAAAAAACAAAGAACAATGTAGAAAGCAAGGGCTTAGGGTACACACTGTCTAAAGTAGAACCAAAAGAAACTACAGAATCATAGAATCCTAAAATGCTTTGGGTTGGAAGGGACCTCTAGAGGTCATCTAGCCCAACCCCCCTGCAGCGAGCAAGGACATCGTCAACCAGACCAGGTTGCTCAGAGCCCCGTCCAAGCTGTCCTTGAACATTTCCAGGGATGGGGCCTCCACTACCTCTCTGGGCAACCCGTTCCAGTGTTTCACCACCCTTACTATATAACTATAGTGCAATGTAAGTACTTTAGTAGATATATTGGCACATTATACTTCAGAATAATCCATGTCTAAGATTGTATTTAATCCCAAGATGCAAGCTTACTCTCCATTTTGAAACGCAACCACTCCAACTTCATGCATAACAAAAGGATCTTCAGGTGCAATGCTCAAAGCTTGGCTAAAAAACCTTTCAGCTAACTTTGAGTTGTTGGTCAAACCATATTCCAGTCCAATATAGAGCATCGGCAAATGACACCTAAAAAAAAAAAACAAACAAAAAAACCCAAACATGCACTTATCAGGAATGGTGTCACAAACTATCAAGAAATGCCAACAGTGTCTGCATAAGTTTATATACATTAAGTAAAAGCTGATTTTAATGGACTATTAACCTAAGGGGCAGACTTTACATCTTTGTTAGGTATTGACAAGAATTTGAACTCCAATACATAATTGTAACCTGCTCTGGAATTACATGTATTTTCTCAGTGCTTAAGTTAGTTCTGACGGTTTTTTTTCCTTGTTTCTTTCATACATTTCATTTACAAATGGAATACGGAAGAAGTAATAATTAAAGGGAATACATTTACCAATAACTACAATCAAATACAATAGTTTTATATGCAGTGACATGATTAGTCCACTACTCATTTTACAACCGCCACAGCATGAAACAGCTGTTCAAGATATTACTACACAGTAGTTTATGACCTGGTATGACAAACATAATTCACAAGTTTCAGAGAACTTTCAGGTAGAAAATAGATTACCTAAATATAAATATTAATGTTAAAACTTATAAAATTACAACAGTAATCACAAATAATGCAGTTAAATGCAGATGATGAAATTACTTGGGTTTTTTTCTCCTTTGATCACTACCAGATAATTGTTGCAAATGTATTCCTACTTTTTAAAGGGATATAGGTTAATAGTTAATATTCTACACTATTTATGGAATAATTTTAATTTTTCTGAATATGACATTTTTGACATACCCTTTCATGAGCTGTGCAGCTGTGAAGTATGCAGCCATCGCTTGGTCATGTTCACTCTCAACTGCAAATGAATGTCCATATGCTATCCACGCAGGTCCGTAGGTTCTCTCAAGTGTAGTAGCTTTGCTAAAAACAAGAGCAAGTCACAAGCAAACACATCTGAAATTAAATTTCATCTGCTTCAGATGACTACTTACATAGCAATGCTATGCCACATAGTTAGGTATCTATTAAGATAATACTCTGTAATGACTGGTGGTAAACAAAGTTCATTTTAAAAGCTCAATAAACTATTTAGCACTTAAAAGTAACACACACTTTCAAGAATTCATTGTATTATTTCTGTTGCTGTTCACGGGCAGCAGGAATTATTTGATATTACTGAACGTAAACAATTATATAATGATGAACTGGGCAAAATACAGAAAACATTAGTAGTGACTCATAATGTATTACAAAATTCTAGCTATGCATTTCAAAATAAATATATTCTAGCAAGTGTAGGTTTCACAAGCAGCGTATGAAAATACCAAATTAACACATCGGTTGAAGTTGCGTGCCATATAATTGCCGTATAATTGTACTGGCCATAATGAAGACATAAGTATTTATTTGTCACATCGCAGACAGCTGCCATGCATCAGAGGAGTATACAAAATGTCAAGTCCTGAGCTGAAGACTGCAACCTGAGCATCAAGAGTGCAACCTGGAGTCTTTACAGAAAGATGGACTTGGCACAAACATTAGAAAGCTCTGCAAGTTGTTTTCTCAGTTTGAAGGCAAAGGCAATCATAACTAAGCAGCTGAATCTTTTCTTAGAAGCTTCTGACACAGAGAACCTACATGTTCCACAAGTAATCTATTCTATTGCTTAGCTATCCTTAAACATTTCATTTTTTCCTAACATATAATCTAAATCTTGTTTGTCACACAAACTCATTATTTCTCATCACAGATCCTAGGGAACAGCTTGTTCTTGGTCTCCTGGGACAGAACTTTACATATTTGAACATCCGCATCTTCCCATCCTGCAGAGCTTCAGTCACTTCAAAAGCTTTCCTCATTGGCCACCTTCTCCAGAATGCCTGTTTACTGCTTTCTCTTGAATTTAATTCAAATGTCTTGCATCCATCTTGAGTTCTCTACACATGTTGACTTGTCAACAGCGACACATGACAATACAGCACTGTTACTGTTATAAAAGACAGACTATGTTCTATCACAAATGTTGGTTTCCCAGTGGGTGCTGAGATGAGGTAAGCCCCTTTGCAAGATATGAATAACGCAGACCGCTCCTTCTGAAGCACCCAGAATGATTTTCCCTTAGATGCTACTGGGCACTGCCCAGCTGTGCCTTCTACCCTGCTCAGCATGCCCCAGCATGATGTCCTGTGACTCCAAAACAACGATATAGGAGCTTGTGTTTTTATCCATGGTACCTTCAGATCCTTTTCTAAAAACTGCTGCCTAGCCCACAGTTGTCCCTAGCCTTATACTTGTGCACTGCTACCATTCTTCTCCAAGAAATTTGGGCGTCTTGTTACTATTTCACTTTTAATGGACCTTTCTTCCTCTTTGCCAGAACTACCCTGAATTCTGATGTTGAGCTTCCCCCCAACACATCTATGGACCCTTCCTGGATAGAGATGCTTGCAGATTTAATAAAGGTGTTCTTTACTTCACCACCAAAACCACCTATGTCGCTCAGGACAGCTTCCTGAACAATTTCACACTGGTATTCGTCAGGAATTTAAATAATTTACTCATAATAACCAGGCATTTAAATAGTCTGAATTACTAACCCATTTTTACCTATATTGTCTATAAAGGTCTTGAGAAGAAAAATGAAAGCCTTACAGGTCGATTTAAGCCTTCCCAGTTTAAGCTTACAGCACCAAAACAAAGCAAGCTCCTGCTCCCCAGTGCTGATACACTCAATACACATACAGATGACCTGCAGGCAAGAGCACTGGACTGACTGACTGACCCAAAAAGTCCAAGGCTGCTTGTACAAAGAAAAAACTAGACAGGCAAACGTCAGGATTTTCTGTCTAGCTCTTTTTTTTAAGATATGAAACCTGAACCTGGGAGAACGCCTGAGCATCCTTAAGCTAAGAACTGAGGTTTGGTTGCTTAGCTGTAGTTAGCTTGGCAGCATGAGTGAATGCAGGGACTACACATGCCCATGACAGAGGGGTGATTGCCACAAGAGATTCCACCTGTCTGTATGTCATTTTTAAAGTATCTAGACAGCTGAGGTCTACGTTGCTACACCAAAAAAAAAAAAGGGTGACAGCAAAAGGAATATTTTAGTAGTAACCAGTTTATTGAGGCTTCTGTTTATAAGCTCACAAACAATTCTGAATATTAAATATTTATTCAGCAAATGAGCAACAAATTCACTACAGAAAACCGGAAAAAAAAATAATTTTACCTGAGGTATCTTCTGGCATGTTCATTTTTGTGGCCAACCATGAGATAGTAGCATCCTACTGCAAACCATGAGACCTACTCATTAAAATCAAAATAGATTATTATTAGATATATCACACTGATTTTAGTGAAACATCACCATAGGTGTTGCAACACAAAGGAACAGATTATAATTAGTTAAGAACATTTCCACTGAAATCACACTCAGCTTTTCAAATTATTTGCTATTACAGACAAGCTGGAACTCCTAGCATGTACATCTCTAACTGGGTTTGTTCAGCCTCATGAAGAGAGAGCTAAGTGGAAAGCAATATGCTCTCTTCAGTTATCTAATGGTAGGGAATACAGAAGACAGAGCCAGACTCTTCTCGGAGGTGCAGTGACAGGATGAGAGGCAATGATGATCAAACATTGGAAGAACGTTGCCCAGAGAGGCACAGACATTTATCACTGCAGCATTTGTTTAAAATTATTATTAAAAGTGAATACCTCACATTGAATATCTCACATGGAATATATTTTACAGGTACTTTTTTTTTTTAAAAAAAAGAACCTTGGTATAAGAAAATTAGAATGTATAGCAAATAAAAGTAGCAAACCATTTTTACTACCTGCATCCAGTAAACAGATTTTGAATTCTGTTGCTCAAACTGACTATTACATTACAACTTTTATGTGCTTTCACCTAGAAAAAACTACTTGGCAATGAAGGCTTAGAACAACTTACAGGATTATTTGGGTACAAGTCCACCAGTTTGTGAGAAAGATAGAAAAGCTCTACGTAGCGGGAAGAAACAAGAAAAGAAAATTAAAACATGCTAAAACATTAAGATGTTTCAAGCCCTTTAGCCTTCTATACAAAATATCAAAAGCATCTAATGTCATTAATGCACAAGTGAAGATAAATGTTTTATGTTTAGTGGTAATGCTTCAAACTGCCTCAAAATCAATTCAGTTAACTAAAATTAACTAAAAACCACCAAAAAAACCCTCCAAAAAAACCAAAAAACAAACCCATAAGTCTTCACAGCACATAAATAAGCATCTATACCTCCCACCCCTTAAGAATTATGCAGCTTAGGTCATTAACATACATTAAAATAAATACCTGTAGTATTACATTTGAATGTATCTCGTCAAGGTAAAGCACTATGGAACTTCCTGTATCTAAAAGGTATAACATACTGGCTAAATCAATTTCAGATTAGAGTCCTGTGTATTACTATGCTGAAAACAGGACAAAGCAAAATAAATTATATTATTTGGAATAATTCTAAGTGATTACTTTTCTAATAAAAATAATAATTCTAGTTATTAGAATAACTTACTACAGATTTTCTAATAACAGTGGAAGTAATCAGATACAGGCTAGCAATTCTATTGCCTATGCAATTTCAAAAGAAACAGCATTACAGTACATAAAATGTTTATTTCTTCAGAGTACAGTGCTCTTAAATTGATGAGTTTGTTCTGGAGACTTTGCACCAATTCTTGGCTTCAGAAAAATCAAATATGAAAACTGACTTACAAAATTCCAACTTATTTACAAAATGCTTCTCAAGGCAGACTTAGAAGAAAAATCAAAGTACTGGCCACATTTACAGATGTAGTTAACTGTAAAGTAACTGAAAAGTACATTCACTAGACATTGAGCAGTACCAGTACACCTAATAACCTATTTATGTACATACAATGCACCATCCTTTGAGAGACTGCAAATCATATGAGCTCCTTATTCTATTTTCCAATTGGTTTTAAAGACATTCAAGCTCCTCCCTTGATTTGGATGTTTATATGCAGTCTGAAATGAGAAAAAGTCATCCCAGCTGCAAGTAAGCTATTCTTGTAATTCCAACAGAGGTGCTGCAAGATTATTAACTTATTTGAAACGAAAAAGAGGCCTTCAAAACAGCAAAGACAAGGAGAGTCTACAATTTTTCCTAATATGGAATAAGCATGTCCACCTAAGCATACATACTGCTGAAGAATTCCTTCCAGGTTAAATTAATGTATTTTATTGTTGAGCAGAAAAAGTACACCTAGAATCTCTAGGAATATCACCTCAAAACAGAAATGAAGCAGAATAGCCCACTAACTTTTTGGCTACATAGCCCAGTGGTTAAAAGACTGTGACACTCCGGATCATGAGTGAATAAAGACTCTTTGGACTCTACCCCCGCCCCTGACCCCGCTGTCAGCTCTGAAACACCTTTCTTTTCCAGTTACCACCGTTTTCTTGAAACTGCAGGTAGGAGGAAAAATACATGGGTTTTTTTTAATAGTATATAAGGGAAGTTCTTTGCATCCTTAATTCTTTGTTAAAATTGAAACTTTATAATCTTCATTTGACTCATATGAAATGTTGTGTTTCTTACCATTTGCTTTATTAAGCTCCACAAGTGTCCCTATATGCACAGGTAAACAATTTGCATGGAAAGGATCTTTTTCCATCACTCTGAAAAAGAAAAAATAAAAAATCTGCAGTGCACATTTCAAAAAATTTAATGTGTTATAAGCAAGTTGTTATTATAGTATGCAATTTTCCAGTTAATTATCACTTTAGGCACCGGAAAACTATTTGTGGCTAGAAGGTAGCTATTAACAGCATAATAAAAGCTATCTTAAGACCAGAAAGATAACTATTAATTTAGCTTAACGACAGAGGATAACAGAAAATACTGGCAAGCTGAATATACAATTAGAAAAACAGAATACAATGTACATTTGTTTGCAGGTCACTTCAAATTTAACCAGCAAAAAGCAAGCAACAACATTTCTGTTCATCTTTTCCATACATTTGACAGCAACTTTCAAGCAACAGTCCTCAACTTTCTGAGCTCAACACTAAGCAGTATGCATTAAGACACATATTTTGCTCGGTTTTACTCAGCTAATATTTAGCTTAGTTTTAGTATTTTTTGTTTCCTATGTCATTTAGAAACAGACAGACTCCATGCAGGACATGGCTTGTGGGCACGTGCTGTTTTTGTAAGCATTTGATGAACTAAGCAGAAAAAAAAGGCGTCTTTAAATCTATACACAGAATCTCTTAAATCAGAAGTACAACATTATGATTCCATTCTCTGAGAAGTACACCTTGAAACAGTTAGAAGTTTAGTTGACATTCTTAAATAGTTCAAAGCATTTCGAACTAAAAGTATAAAAGAACATATCAACACGTATATTAAACGCTCTCTTGAAGGGAGCCTAACACTTTGAAGTTATATAGACTTCTCAGACTCCCATTTCCAAGCTCTAGCACCTGTGACAGTCTCCTCCTTAGGAGACATTTACTTCTGCCATTTTGTGATAGACAGGGCGTGGCAATTAAGTTTCACAAAGATGTGATAGTATAATTTTATTGACTTAACTGGAGTAGTTTATTTCAACAGGATCATAATTTTACTCAGATATTTAAATTCATCCTGTCAGCATTCTCTACAGCCTTCCCAAAAATCCTGCCTGCACCGAGCTCCATGGTATATTCTACATAGTGATGGCTTGCTTCAGCTAACAAAAAACAAAAAAACCCACCCCTTCTATGTTATACTACTAATACTCTGAGACTATGCTTTACATACAGAAAAATATAGTTTTCTTAAAAAAAAAGTAGTTGTCAGGCCAGCAGAAGAAATAGCTCCATGACCATGTGTTCAGATTTACAGTAGCTGAGAAGCAACCCATGTTGTTGTTCTGACACATCTGACAAGTGAGCAGCAGTGTATGCCTGGCCTATGTAACAACCGAGACACAACAGCTGGCACATCAAAATTAACGTAACTTTTAATCAGCCACAGAAATCATACTTACTAACTAACCAATTGATCCAAACCTGTTTGTTCTGAAGGCCAAACAAGAAGTAGGTAGAGAACACACAAAACTGAAGGTACCACAGTAAGGAAGAGGAGACGGATGAAGGGAAGAGCAGCACAGTGCTGATTAACTGGAGTTTGGCTTAGGATGTTTCTGCTACGTATAATAAAATAATGTGACTGGCAAGACACAAGCTACACATTTTAAATACCTGAAACTTTGTATCAAATTGTTATGTCTGTCAATCCATTGAACTGGATTGACTGTATTCACTGACAGTATTCACTGTTAAGTCCAGGCATAATTATTATACTTCAGCACATGAGAAAAAAACCCCGAAAGTTGCTTTGTATACTTACACGGAAGTAAGCTTGTAACACATTTTGAAATCACAGTTATAATAATGTCTTTCAGCTAACGATACTACCACATCCAGGTTTTCCTGAAGACCATCTACTGATTCAGGAATCAGTGTTTCACTGGGTTTATTATACTGAAAGACACAAGAAACAACATCTGAAACAACAACCAATCTAAAATCAGATTGTATAAATATTAATACTTTTAGGTTTAAACTCAAAGTCCAGAAAACATGTATTTGGTAAAATGGTTCTTTAAAATGTACTTAAAAGCTCATTTAGAACATGAAAGATGCTTGCCAGTGTCAACATTTTAAGCATAGCCTGAAGAAACGAATACTAAGCAACATATAGCTGGGTTTCAGTGCTCTCCCATTATCTTCAGAAAAAATAGTCTGGAATAATGTTGCTATACCCTAGTATTTTCAGGTAACTGACATTTTGCCTACATTATTAATGTTCTTTTTCCCCACCTAGAAGTTTCCCAAGAAATAAAGCTTAAAAAAAAAAAATCAGAATTTCAGGTTGTCCAGAAAACTGTTATACTACCCCATGAAGTGATATCTACTGCATCGTAAATTTTAAAATAACCAAAACTACAAAGCCCTTATTTATTCTAATGTTCACAATAAATGGAATCAAAGAAAATTTACATCTGAAGTCAAGACTTTCAATCAATTCTCCAGTTTTTTAGTCAGTTTTGGGGTTTACCTTCTTCAATTTATTCTCAAATAAAAAGTGAAGCAATTCTTGTTCTTCTGTACATTGTCTACTAAGAGGTAGAGATTCAAGAAGTTCTTTTTCTATGTGAATTAAAAAAAAAAAGTGGTCATATTACAGAAGAAATAGCAAGAACCAACGTTTTGAGAACTTAAGAGATGCAAAGAATTTTATGATGCTCAGCCCGAAAGTACAAGGAAGACAACAATCCAGATATACTGAAACAGATAATACTACTAATTATGGAAACTAATGATTCAATTCTAAGTTCTTCCTTGTACACTTTTAAATGAAATTTAATGAAGAAGACATAACACACCTAACTAATGATTCAATTCTAAGTTCTTCCTTCTACACTTTTAAATTAAATTTAATGAAGAAGACATAACACACCCCTATTTTTATTTACTCTACATGTCAAATGTTATCCATCAGAATGCTGCATTAACCAATGACTACGAAAACTAAGCAAACACCAGTAGGGTTTCATGGGTTCAAAGCCTGTGAATTTGGGAACACAGGAAGAATACTGTTTAGGCTGGGCAAAGAGCGTGCGAGCTTCCAGAGCAAACAAACAGGACAGCTGGGTTACTTTGTTGCTTTTCATTCTTAGCACTGCAAGACTGAAAAATAAATTTCATATGTAAATTTGAGCAGATTCTAATTTTCACTCATCACATACATTTTCTGTTCTTAACATTTTAAAGTCTGTTACTTGTAGTATTGCTTTAATTTTTATCCAGGAAAAAGGCATATTGAGAAAGCAGCTAAATTTTACTTATATTTGAGAAATACTGCTATCCAGACCTTCTTGTGCTGTCAGCATATGGTGCGATGTTAAAAGATCAAATGCTTCAAAGCAGAAAACATCAAGCTTCAAGGCCTCTTTGTAGCTGTATGTTGCTAGAGTTCTATTATCCAAAGCATCATAGATCTTCCCTCGCAAAAGGCATATAGAGCTCTTGATCTGGTGGAAAAGCAGGGCTGCAGGTCAAAGACTGAACCAATGTTTGCAATTTGGTTTTGAGCACAAATCAAATGGGCTCCCTGAAAAGTAAAAAGCATTTCATGTATGACAGAACCTGGTTTTCTAGTGCTGTCTTTAAATAAAATATTGTCTCTACTAATCTTAAAAAAAAAAATCAGATGAATGCTCTGTCAGGTTATCTACTGCCAGACGAACACATGCTTCAAATAAGTAGTAGGAGGATAAAGTTTATCTCTTCTACTTCTGGCATCCAGCTCTCTGATACTGAGTTGTAAGCTAATTATACTAAATCCCCTTCATACTCAGTATAGGGAAATTATCACTTCCAAAAGCATTTCACTTTTGTTGCCTGTTGAACAACATATTTCATGCAAGACAAGAATGACTGCAGTAGAGATGAAAAAGGCCAAATCAATGGACTTAACTACTTTGAGCAGAAAAATATATCCCTCTTTTTAATCCAAAACATAGATGTTTCAGAAATTAAAGCAATGGAAGATCATTATTACCATCGTTAAAGTTGTGCTAAGATGTCTAATAACTAACGTGTTCTTTCAAAACTCCATAGCTGGGTGTTCAATTCAGTCAGAAGGCCACAGAAGTGTCAGCAAGTTACTTGGAGAAAGTTAACACCTTACACATCCCTATCATCAGACTAACCAGACAGACCAACTCTCTCTGGAGTTCTCGCCAGAAATGATACAGTTGCATTAACAACTAATAAACCCCAGGGGGCTGCTTGCAGTGGTAATATTGTTACCAGGTCAGAGACCAGTCATTCTTATTCCAGAACTAGCATTTGTGCAAACTAATCAAATTCTCTGAAAAAGCCAGATTCCTAGAGAGGAGTTTGATCTAAATTTTTTTGTAGTAGAACCCACTTCAGTAGTTCTCTCCTTTGGCAAACCACACCCATCCTTGCATTAGTGAACTACATTATTGCAAGCATTTGTGAATGTAAGGACTGATGAAGTTGAGTTTTTTGGCTGTGTTATTTTTCAGTCAAAATAGTTTCCCAATTCAGCTCAATAATCAGCCACCCAAACACCTGGGCCAAAGTACCATGAAACAGGGAGGAAGAATGAACAGCCAAGCTGAGGCCTGTGCTTGCAGTTCCCATTAAGGTACACCACAGTAACTCAGGCTAATCCATTTCTCCCTTAAGCCCATCAATATCATTGCATTCAAAATCAGTTCACATCAATAATTTAACTCATTTTGCTACTTCAGTCTTACAGGGAAAATGCCACCTGTCAATCACCTTCACTGTAGTTTCAGCTAATAAACTCCACGTCATAACTCCAAAAGGAAGACTCTTCATGGACTCTTCAGCCTACACGTGGTACCGATCCCTTCTAACTGTGTGTCTATACAGAATTTTTTCACCGAGCTTAAAAAACTTCACCTTCGTGTACTATAATTTTCAAGTGTGATCAAAAAATGTCCCACTGAGAACAACACTTGAGTGATTTAGTAAATATTTCATTAAAAACAACTGGAGGAGAAAAAAACTGCTTTGTTATCTCAGAACCTGAAGCCCCGTTGAAAGAAATGTTAGTTTACATTATCAAGACTGAAATTGCAACATAGAGCTAAAAGACTCTAAAAACCAATGCTAGATCATGAACTTCTTGCAAAGTATCTGCAAATAATTTATGGGAAGTTGTTGAAAAGCACTCTTCATTTTGCAAGCCAAGTTATTTTCATACAGGCAAGCTAACACATGATTTCTCACTGAAAGGAGAACCATTTACCATTTCTGAAAATTATGTTTTCCAAAAAAAGAAAGCTTAAACACAGTTTCAGATTCATACAGCTGTAAAAACACTTTCTGACTTCACACATTTTTTTTCTCAGTTATAAAAATATTTGTTTAAAAAAGCGTCACTTACAGAGGATTGTGACATCCCCCAGTCTGTGGTAGAGTCTTTCAACCCACTTCCATCCTTCAAGTACTTTTCAAAAAGTCTTTTGTTGATTGGTTCTTCCATGTCAAGAATATCCAGTGCCTGTTGATGTTCTTTTGCAGCATACTAGCCAAACATGTGCATGTAAAAAACAAGGTTGAGATTTGAAACATCTGTACATAAAGCACAATAAACACAGTGTCACATTTCACAGGCACAGATTATAACAAGTGCTTATCAGCAGGTTTTTCATTCATGCATCTTCTTATTTGGACATATGTCATTTTATAATTGCAGCCAACTACTTTACTAGTCATCTATAATATGCAAAAAATTATAAAATTAACACCTACAGAAAAAGCCATTATTCAGCATTATGCAATCACAGGAGCAGATATGCTTCTAAAAATAGTTAATACAGGTTTTAATAAAATACAATTATCTTGTTCTATAAGCAGCACATTATTCTATTTCAAATTTGTATATTTAATCTACCAGTTGATTCAGTTTTCTTATGAAAGCACTGCATTTTTCTATTTATGTATCACATTTTATACATAAGTATAAGCTGCTAACTGTATTTATACAACCATAAATCACATCTCCTCTGGTCAGATGCCAACCAACCAATTAAGAACATAAACATGAAGACATGAGACAAAAATGGTTCACATTCTTTCCCCACAAAATATTAGAGGAGTATTTTCTTTCCCGGAAAGAAAAGTCAGTTGGATTTCTTCAGAATAGGACCACAATGGGTACTCCAGCGACCATACTGAAGGTTAAAGAATGAAATCAACTGTCGCAAAATTTAAACCTGTTATTCCAATGAACACAGACATCGACACTGCCTGTCAGGTACCTAATCTTCCGAGGACGCATCTTTTATTTAGTTTGATTTGCTTCCAATAGAGGTGAAAACCTGTACTCACATGACATCTAGCTGCAAGGTAGCGACATGCTTCATATAACTGAAAGAGAAGTTTCATACGTATTAGTTATAGAGAACATGTTTACTTACACTGCTAGACTCCATTTTGCTCTCTCCTTTTTCAGTTGTATGGCTTCTTCATCCCTTTCACCTCCAAAAATCTTTCCTGACCAAAATGACTAAGTCTGTAACAATTTCTCTACTATTAAACTCTCAAATGACACTTGCTTCACTCTTGCCTTCACCACCCCTTAGCAGAGTGGAAGGACAATTTAAACAACTATACCTGAAGTGACACTACACCTTCCCATACCTCCTGCAGTCACGTCCTTGGACCCCTTCTCTTTTCTGTGACCCTGCCTGGGGACAAGAGTTTCAGACTGGCCGATTGAACGCAGAGTCATACTTGGTTCAGAAAAACCACATCATGCATGTTTTTTAACTAGTTTTCCCATAAACTTTATCCTCTGATGGTGAAGAAGTCATTGTGGTTAGCAGGAGAGGTTTAAAAGTGGAAGAACAGTAGTAAGTCTTTGACTAAAATTACTTACCTTATCCAGCTTACGTGATCGAAGGGCATGTGCTGCCCTATGGTACTGAGCTGTTAGATAAAGACATTGGGCCAACCAGTAGATATCTTGTGGCTCCTCTAAAATAAAAGAACAAATTATAAACCATTAATTTATAATACATCTTTAAACGCTTTCATACAGAATATTCACTTTTGCTTCATTAGAAAAGTATTTTTACCCTATCCTAGCATCCTATTGAGTTACAAAGTTTTATCTTTTTTACATATGTATTTATACACACGTATAAACAACTTATAGTATCTATCAGTGAGAGATTAAAATGAAAAAATAATCAGATTTTAACTTCAAAAACATCAGATAGTGCACTGGACAGTGAATACACAGAACCTCATACTAAAGGTGTGTCATGAGAAGGAAAAAAAAACAACCCTAAATTGTGTCTCTCAAAAAAAGATCGGTGGAAACCTAACAACAGTGAAAGTGAAAGCACTAGACTTCTGCAGCTTGAAGTTGGAACTGCGGAAGCATAGCTTAGTACTCTCCTACTTTATTGGCAACCAAAGTTGCAGGCATAGGCTACCAGCGCCAACTCGCTCTGTAAACCTGCATTCTAGTTGTCACCCAGAGCAACAGTGAATCCTGTAGGAAACCACCCTTGTCTCTCCTAGCTTTTTCTATTTTTTGTCTCTTAAGGTAGACAAACCTTAAGGCTTGGCCAAACATTAATTTTAACACAAAGTTCAAATGGGAAGGAAGATTGGCCCTGGTCTATTTAGAAAAATAGCATTCCAAAGATCACAGAAAAGCATTTACATCAAACTCAAAACTCCAACACTCAGCCACACAGCTTTAACAAAACAACAACAAAAAACAAAACAACTCTATCAGAAAGAAGTTAATGAAAAATAACGTAAGAAACTACTTACCATGAGACAATGAAGCTACTTTGTCTGCCCAAAACAGGGCACTTTGATACTGCTGCTGTAAAAGCATGATAGAAATAATTAGTATTTATTTGGGGTTAGGTTTCCTGGATTATTATGAAATATGTTGTACATCATTCACATTTAATATATTTTGCACATGGTCTCTAATGAATGGCAGTGATTCACATTTGAGATCTTTATAAATTCAAAAAACAGTTTCAAAAGGTCAATACTGTAACCTCTAAAGTCTATGAAAAAGTACTTTGAGGTGGGGTTCTTCGTTTATTTTCAGTAAAATGCAGGTATTTTTGACCAAGAGGTATGTACTACGTAAGTATGGCACTAGGTCATTAGTTGATCTGCTATCACTGAAAAAGTAGGAAGAAATCCCTCCTTCCAGTTAAAATAAATGCTACATTTCAGAAGAAAGAGAATACTATATTAAAAAAAAAGACATATAAATTACTTCAAGAATCTTCAGCAGCACCATCTCTGATTAAGAAATTTTATTCCCCAGTCAAAATGCTTTAACCTCACACAAACTGTAGTGCCTGTGTGAACTTCCCCTTGTCCTTGGATACTCAGCTTCACGGTTAAGTCTGCAGCTCAGGAGAAGCCAGTGAAGTAGAAAAGACTGGTGGCAACTAGAGATCCAACGGTAGCAGAGTTCGCAGGCACACCCCACTAACTCAGCTAGGGCTGCCATCAGATTTGGGGTGCTAGGCAAAATCTCATAGAATTGGCTGGGATTATTCTCCAAGAAGATCAGTGGGGGCTACTGTTCTGCTGGACATTTAACAGATATCCCACCATTGCAAGGACTTGCAATACTAGAAAAGCCTTGATTACTTTTGCTTTTTTCTGCAACGTTACACTTGTGTAGTTTGTTTACAATCTTAGAGACAGTTTTATGCTTTTGGAGTAGAGGTTTGTCAGACTTTTCCGAAACACACTGATGTTATTCCAATCGTCACAAAGCACAACGCTCCATGAGCCAAGTGGTCTCTCCCGTCTTGTGCTCTCACATTTCCTACCTGGTGGGGACTAAGAACGCCCAGCGAATTTGCCAAGAGAATAGTCTGGTTTCAATCTGCGCTTCCAGGAAAAAAACAAAAACAAAACCCCACGAAAACCTCACATATGTAATAGCTGTCTACAAGAACTGAGGTTTAAATAAATCTCTCAGCGCCACAAAAGAAGAGCATAGTCCAGGTCTACTGAGGCCCATACGACTTCTGCTGAGCTGTCCTACAGTACCAAAATCTGACTATACTACACAAAGAAGCAGTTTCATGTTCCTCCCGAAGCCCCTTCCTCAGAACTGCACGAGCATCTACACGGCTGCGTGGCAAAGCAGCATGGTGAACCAGTTTAACTCCAATGAGTACTGCAAAACGAAACCCTAAAATCCACCAAACTAAACCTCGGTCCCCAATCAGCCTTCTGGTCAGACTTGCTGGCCACACACACAAACATTCATGCTAACCGAAGAGATGGGTGCCCCTCAGTAGCGATGCCAGTATGAAGTCTCTGAACTAAAAACAGAGCAGAGCAGTTTCATGCCATAATTAATTTAGTTTACTAATGCATTTTTTCTGTTGTGGTTGGCTTTTTTGTTCGCCCTGCAGCAACATAACTGCCGAATTCACCAGCAAATGAAAACAAGCGCGCCCTTCCAACGGCACCCCGTGGGGAGGCGGGGGGGCCTGCAAACACGGCTTCGCCACGCCGCGGCC